CCTTTTCAAAGGAGAATTTCCCTAAAGTGGAATTATTGGGCATGCAGGAAAAATATATTGCGAAAATATTTCCCAGAAAGGTCAAATCAATTTACACCCCTGCTGACTCTATAAGAAAATGTTCATTTCCATACTTTGTTGTTGCTCCTGGGAATTTAAATTCTTTATACTCTTTGCCTTTCTAATATTAGTATGTGATATTAATTTGCATTTTTGATCATAGTATATTTAAATGCTATCATACTTCTTATTGGTGGATTATTTTAGTTTATGGTGCATTGCCAGTTTGAATCCTTGGCTCAAGTTTCTACTGGAAAGTTTGGTTCTTATTGAGTCATAAAATGTCATTCATTCATTCATTCATTATTCACTCATTCAGTAAACACATTTTCAGTATTTGCTTTGTGTCTAGCAATTCTTATTGAGTCATAAAATGTCATTCATTCATTATTCACTCATTCAGTAAACACATTTTCAGTATTTGCTTTGTGTCTAGCACTGTGTCAGGTGTTGTGGGTACAACAGTAAGTGAAATAGACATGGTTGCTGCCTTCTTGTACTTCCAGTTTAGTGAGGATAAACAGACAATTAAACAAGTAATAATGAAAAAAAGTGCAATCAGGAAATAATGAAATAGAAACCCTGGGCTGGGAAGGAAGTTGTGGATCATGGAAACTTCCCAAAAGTAGTGGTGTTTAAGCTCTTGACATACACTGACATTGGAGATCTATACTCTTTGTTACATATATTACAAATTTTGTTTTCTCTTAATTTTGCCAATTATTTTTTACTGTACAGGAGTTTTGCGTTTTTAATTGGTCATATCCATCCATCTTTTCTTCATGGTTTCTTCCTTTGGTGTAATACTTAGAGCAGCTTTTTCCAAACTAAAATTGCATAAATATCCATTCTTATCGTCTGCTATTCTTTTTGTACATTTATTTTGTGCTTTAATAGTTAAATCTTTACTTCATCTAGAATTTATTTTGATGAGAGTTACAAGTTATAGATCTAATACTTCTCTCAACAAATGGCTAACCAGTTATTCCAATAAAAATTACTTAATAATCCAACCTTTTCTCACAAAATCGAAATGTCATCTTCATAATGTACTTAATTTTATGTTCTTAGGTCTATTAGGGACTGTATATTTAATTCGAATAATTTATTCTGAGGCCAATAGTATCACTGCTTTTTCTCATCCTGAAAGTTGGGCATTTTGCATCTGGTGACATTCTAGAACACAAAGAAATGATAGACATTGTATGGGTGTGTGGGGTGGGAAGTTAGGCTGGATGATATTCTTCATCTTTTCAATGTTGAGACTTTCAGTGTCGGAAATTCC